TGGCTAGAAGGACACAACAACTAACCATAATATCTCTAGAACTACGCTTCTCATCAAATTGACATACGTTGTATTACACAGGCTCGTAATTTGTGTTTCAGAAACGTCATCTCCGATATCACCGCACACGGCGGTCCGACAGGCAAGCGCCGGCTAACCAGTATGACTGTTGCTAAGCTAGCTAGCGACACGGGCAGCGACTGTACGACCCATAGAACCTCTCACCGCTCATACGAGTTGCTGTTGTGCCAAATGAGAAAGCTCAACTTTGCTGAAGTTTTTTTAAACACGAGCAGGTAAGTTCTGGTCCGTCATGAGTTCGGTTTTGACGGACGTGTTTGCTCGGTACACTTATGAGGCTCATTCACCACCTGCCATTATTATGTCAAGACACAGTACGTGCAATCAATGGGAACAGCGCCATGTGCAATTAGTGTCCACATTTGAACTTGATTCATATAGCAACATACAATGGCTTCATTCAATACTTTTTCTAACTTCCTGAAAATGACGACTTGATTCTACCTTTTTTATCATGCTCTCTCTCTGCCTCCGTCACCAGCAGAGATGTAAGTAGCGAAGGGAACGGTGGAACCATAAGCACCCTGGCTTTGCACCCTGCACTGCACTCCAAAAAGGCGCTATCAGGTCGCACACTCAACGCTGAAAGTGTCTCGGCCCCCCCGTCTCTGTAGACTGCAGGCAACGAGCGATGACTCTCCGCCGTCCCCGTGGCAAAGAGAGAGAGAGGGAGAAGGGGAAATCTAATTATTTTCCTCCCATGGCTCAGCAAGCCTTAAAGGTTAATCACTGTCCGTCTAGCTAATTCTGTCTGGGTACACTGCAGTAATTACAACACCTCGCTCTCTCTCTCGTGCCTTTTTTCCTCCATTGAGCACCTTGCTTGCACCAGCGCTCTCTTCAGCACCCTGTGTCTCTTTATAGATAGTGGATGTCTGTGTCTCTGTCATGTTTGTCGTCATATGAAGCTGGTGCACCGCTCTCTCTGTTCTTCGCTCTCCGACAATAGACACATACGGAACATTTAAAATAGTGCGTGGGGCCTCCATCTGGCCAGCTGATGTTTACCTGCTGTCTTGATACATTTAGCATAATCCACATTCCAGCAACACTAATCAGCCACAACCACAGAGTCCAATCATATTCGTCACTTTGCGGTTTCTCTTTTTTAACAAATACAGGTTTTGTTGGGAGGTTTTCTTTTTGATAGGTGTTTGAATACAGATGTGTCACATTTAAAGCCTTCCAGAAGCTCAAATGGTGTACAAGCCTGGGAGCCTTTTAATGTGAAACATCTACAGGAAGTGTTGGGTTTAACTGGCAACAACTGAATAAAACCTTAAAACAACGAAGTAGAGGTGAAATAATGACAAAAAAAAAAAAAATGCTTTTCAATTGGTCTTTAGTAATTCAGTTGTAATTTGTTCTAGCATTTGCAGTATATATATAGATGTTTACACTTTTTATTTTACATACGTATTTCATAGATACAGAAAGGCATTTTGTCATGCGTCAGATCTCAGAGGCAGCAGGGTTTCCTTTTCTCACCTCCTCTTTCTCACACTCCTCACTTTCCATTTTTACTCCATCTCCTCACCGCCCCTCTCTCTCCTTCTCTTGCTACCTTCGTGACACCTATTGTCTCCCTCTCTCCCCACTCTTCTCAACACTCGTCCTTTCATTCTCCTCTCTCTCTCTCTCTCTCTCTCTCTCTCTCTCTCTCTCTCTCTCTCC